GCCCCCCTGTTTTTACCCTTAATTTGATATTTTACAGTTACATTTGAAATTGTTTTGAAAATAATTGATTTGCGACAGTTTTAGTGGCTTTTTATGTGTGATCTGCAGCAAACAGTACAGCAGTTTGACCCCTGAAACAGTGCATCTGTGTGCGGGAGTGAAAGTAAAAATTTACCTGAGAGGCACGCGGTTGCCGGTTACCGTGTACGTAGACACTGAGGCTACGTGCCCGGTTACCGTGTACGTAGACTCTGAGGCTACGTGCACGGTTACCGTGTACGTAGACACTCTGAAAGAGAAAACCTTTGCCGTATTCCCAGTTTTTGGAAGCCATTGAGTATAATCTAGATTTAATAGTGGCCGCTCGTTACGGAAGTCTTCCTGAGTACTGAGTACCTGATGAGATTTTCATCATGAGTAGACAGACTTAGGCTATTTATTCAAAATGTAGGCTATCATCCCAATCTCAACTCATCAAGTCTCACACTGACTCTGCAGACTGCTGGCTGCCGCTGGTAGATCAAAGACTCAGGATAGGAATTGAGACAAAATTAGCAGCCAAAAGTAAGACTCACTGTTCTTTTTCTTCTTGCGCTTTTTCTTCTTCTTTTTCACTTGATCTTCAGGATCTTTTGCGTCTGCAGTATCGTCGAGTATTTCAGTGTCATCTTGTACATCTTTTGACTCATGTTCCATGTCGTCGATCTTGACGGCCGCCATCTTGATTTTCTGGCTGTAAACTGTAAAATAAAAACTAAAATCCAGAATAGAATCTAGATAGAAAGAGAAGAAAAAAAAGGAAAGCGCGGAAGCTTAGCCTTTTCCAGGTTTCGAGAATGACACCGAATTATTTAAGTTAAATACAGTTACGACTGTAATTTATTTTTAAACGATATTTAAAAGAGTCAAAATCTGCTTATTCGACTAAGACATACAGATACAATTTGTATTGTTTTGTATGGGACCAATTAGTAAACAATAACAGTTTTTAGTTGTCACGGGTTTTCCTTCCTAATTTAGGCCTTAGAAAGTAGGCCTCGCCTCCTCTGCGAAGATCTTCGTAATTCCCTTCTTGAACAGTGATAATTTTATTCTCGAATTGAGGTAAACGTATTTATTTTTGAAAACACTCTCATTTCTGTTTATTGGCATTGCATTCACTGGACCATAGATTCCTTTTTATCACGAAACCTCTAGATCTAGCCTGAGGCTGAGGTCTTGCACTGGCCTGAGCCTACAAAAATAACAATAAACCACAAAAAAAAAAGAAAGCCTCCTTCCTGCTACACAAAAAAGACACCGCCCCTTTTTTGGTTTTAACTTGTATGGAGTTGGAGAACCATCTCACATTTCTATGTAGGTATAAACTGATCACCAGTTCACAGGGGCCCTGGGCTTTTCAGAATGGACTGGTTTGGGCCAAGAATTCTCATCCGGGGTGAGAATAGAAAAACGATCTACCTCTCACCCCGGGTGAGACTTGCCAGCGTAGGCTATTCTCACCCGGTGCGAAACAAGACCTGCTTTTCCTCATTTTGGAATACTGTCTATCGGTGTGGATGATCAAATTGATAAAAGCCAAGAAAAAAGTACGTAATAGCAAAAAAGTAAGCTAATTTGATCGTCTTCAAAGATGCTATGGCTATTTCACTGTTCGAATCGAGCCGAACTACGCGGGTCGCCATTTTGTTTTGCCCAGAAGTTCTCGCAAGATCTACTCCTCCCCTCTCTCTCTCTCTCTCTGTCTCTTTCTGAATACTGTCTATCGGTGTGGACGATCAAATTGACCAAAACAAAGTTAAAAAATGATAATAAAACACAAAAATAAATTAATTTGGTTGTCTACAAAGATGCTACGGCTATTTAACTTTTCGAATCGAGCCGAACTACGCGGGTCGCCATTTTGTTTTGACCGGAAGTTCTCGCGCTACTCCTCTCTCTCTCTCTTTCTCTCCACTGCCCACAGACAATATTGTACGCTTTTAGTAGGCTACAGTTGTAGTGGAACGTTTGTTCACGGCACAGAATTCTACAATTTTTCTGTTATCACAGTGCAGAATTCTGTGGTTTAGGGTGAACGCAAAATTTGTTGGCCTAGATCTAGGCTATAACGGTGAACGCGCACCGGGTGACAATAGCCAAAAGACTCGCCTGCACTATTCTCACCCCGGGTGAGAATAGAGGTGGCCATTTTCATAACGAAGTGATTATTCGGACTCGAGTCCGAATATGAAAAAATGTTATTCGGACTCTGGTTCTTGTCCAGCATGACATCACTTCCGACTTCCGACTTCCTGTGACTCGTGACTCCGGCTTCCTGTCCTGCCTCACTCGTGACTCACCTCAGGCTGGGTAGAGACCGGGATCACTTCGGGCAAAATGGCGTTTTGTGCAGGAGCCGAGTTTTTATCTTATGATGAATTTGAGGCCGGCCTGAAAAGTTATAGTATAGCGCTTCTAATAAATGTTTATTTGTCAAGAGGTCATCAGAAGCGATTAAAGGTGGCTTGTTAGCGTGTGTCGGGGTCGGATGGGCGGCCTGCACACATGTGGCTGTGTGCGTGTCAGGGGGGGGGGGGGGGGGGGGCCCCATCGGTCCGTGTTTTAAACGTGGGATACGCTCCATTCCCCCCCCCCCCCCCCCCCCCCCGCAACTGGTCATTATTACAATAATAAGCTAGTCTTGACGTAGATCTACGTAATGAATTGTGCGCTGGTCAATGGAATCAAAAGTTGACGTATGCTCAGCTCAACACAGCAACACAACTTTTTCTTGGTAAACAATCGAAATGACACAGGCTTGTGTATTTGAACGAATCGGTCTTTTTTTTTTTTTACACAGCTCATAATATGCAGGTGCCAGGTGGTCTGCTAATCTTCAATTTTACCTTTTTCTACAACAAAGAAAGAGGGAAACATGGGGGGTGGGGGGGTGGGGGGCGTATCAATGAGGCGGCAGGCATCGGATCGGCAAAAAAGGTGTGGGGGAAACTAAAAAATGGCGGAGAATTGGAAGCACTGCACGTTAGATCTATAGAACGAAGACACTTCCTTTTTTCCGGACCCGAGTCTGAATAAGCGCATAGAGCCTGCTGTTGAGCGGGGATTTGCGCTATACAAATGCTATCTATTATTATTATTATAACATTTTTTCATATTCGGACTCGAGTCCGAATAAGAATTTTTTCTATTCGGACTCGAGTCCGAATAACGACGGCCTTTTCATAACGGCATAAAAATGTGGTCAGTGTGATGTCAACAACGTCAGTGCTTCATGCAGGGAGACAGGGGATCTCTCTTTACTCTTTATTTTTTAAATAACGGTACTTTATCCACAGTATCATCAAAGATTCTCTGCTACCAAGATATTGCACTTCCTCTTTTGACATTTGCTTTCGCCGTGGCGGACCCGCTTAGGCGATCATTGACAACACAGTGATTATTCTCACCCCTGGTGAGAATAACGACAGCCTACTATTCTCACCCGTTTTTTTCGTTTCGGGCACCATAGGACCCCTGTCACTGAGCGCTCCAGGCGACAAAACTCGTCTCCCTCTCTCACTCCGCTGAGCGCGCGGCGACTAAAATCGCCAACGGATGGGCCAGCTCTTGAGCGCGGGAGGCGACTATTGTCGATTTGAGCAAATAACGTCCCCATTTGTTGCTACAGTATTAATTTATTGGTTCTTATCCCTAGCAGAACCCACGATTATTTTTAAGGAACGCAGTGCCTTGACACTAGGCATAATTTTTAAACTTTATTTTGATTGGTATTCAAGAGTAAAATTTTCCATTAAGAACCAGAATCATAATTTTAATGACGACCCAAATAAATGAATAAAGTTACGTTAGACAATTATAATGAAAGTTAGGCTTACTAGATCTAGGCCTAGAGATCTAGTTATTTTATCTCAAAATCTGCGCCGACAAATACATTGTAATTCATAAGTAATAGACCGGCGGCGTCGCGACGCCGGAGAATAGCCACTTGCTTTCATTAAACTTAGACAGCTTTCGGTTAAGGCTATTATTTTTAAAAACATACTACTCTGGCAAGTGAATTCCTTTCTGAATTTAGAATATATTTACACTTGTCTAGTGTTTTGGTGAAGATATTCGTGCATACTCTCAACTCAAGATTTAAAAAAATGAAACAATAGCAATCCCCGCGGGAGCCTAGAAAAATCGGCCAGCGCTCTGAGGCAGGTCACAAACGGTCACTCTCTTACAATTCACAAATTATTTTCTATCATCCGTTCTCAACACCCAGGTAGACCCAAGAAATCCATTGCATTCTCAGACCGGGTGAGAATAATATAATTCATTTTATTCTCACCCGGGGTGAGAATTTAATAACAATATAGTCTAATATTATTTTCACCGCGAGTGAGAATGAAATGGATATTACAGTTATATTTTTATTTTCACCCCGTGTGAGAATAACGACAGCCCATTGACAAACTACCAAGGAAGGATGTCAACATCATCGGGGCTCCCCATTACGCATTAAACCTGCAGATTACCCTCTTAAAGTTTTGGTGGTGCGTGAGCTTTACCCTTTATAATTTCATTTTGGGGGTTTGGATTATGCTTTAAAACGTAGGTGGTGTGCGTCAGACAAGCATCATTTTCCCCCTTTCTCTATCCAGAAGCCGAGTTGATTATTTGACAACACACCCACACACTCACACATGCACGACAGTCACTTTCTGTGTCAGAAGTCGACTTACTTATCAGCTGTGCACAGTTTCCGGGAACACCGGCTGGCTTCAGCACAGAAGCTCCGTCCACATTCTGGTGGCTCACATTTGCTGGTGTTGTGCCTTGAATTTACCCCTGCCGTGAGATTACCCCCATCCTTCTTAAACACACTAGTAAACATGAATTGTCCGCCATCGAAAGTGTGGAAAGACTGAAATGTGAACCGTGGGATGGCTCTGAAGAATAATGAATCAGTTTATTGTCCAAACCTGCCCCTCATCCCTGCCCTAAATCTCAAGCATCTCGATTTACCCGATTTTCATGGCGTGTCATCATCATCCAGTGCCAGATCTGCGACAGACATCGGCGATCATGGTTTTCCATTCATTCCTTTGCTCGGATGCTCTCAAAAAAGCTACGTTTCCCTGATCTTTCCCTGTGACCCATTTGTTTAGGTTTCCAAAGTATGTTGTTCTGGGCCTACCCCTGCTTCGCTTGCCCCCAATTTTGCCAGTGAGAGCTAGATGTTCAAGACCCTTATGTCTATTCAGGTGTCCCAAAAACTGCATTTGTCGTTTCCTGATTGTTTTTAACATTGAACGTCCCACGTGGGCTTCATCAAGCACTACCTCATTTGATTTCTTTTCCTTCCACGATACTCTTAGCAGTCTCCTAAGAAACCATATTTCTGTTGTTTCTATTTTATTTTCACTGTCTTTAGTGATTGTCCAGCATTCACAGCCATATAGATGGGTTGACCAAACATAGCTTTTCAGGACTTTCATTTTGGTGTTCATTGAGATGTTTCTATTTTTCAGGATTGGGCTCATTTTATTGAAACTAGCCTTAGCCATTGTAGTTCTCCTTTTTATTTCTGTGGAACATTTGGCGTCAGATGTTATCATATATCCTAGATATTTAAACTGTTGGACTTGTTTGATCTTTTTTATCTTTGCTAATGAGATTACAACTAGGGTTTGCTGCTTTTTTGGATATTACCATGCATTCTGTTTTCTTTAGATTCAACAATAATCCTTTACGTTCACTTTTTGTTACAACAGTATCTAGAAGTAATTGAAGGTCCTTTTCGGAGCCTGCTATTAAAACTGTTGAGGCCTGGATATTCTTATGTTTCTAAGGATTGTTTCACTGTTCATGTTTAAGAGGTCTGGTGACATAACACATCCTTGCCTCACTCCTCGCCTGATCTACTTATATTCGCTGTATTCTCCATTAATTAGTACTGCAGCGTTTTGGTCCCAGTACAAATTTCTGATAATTCTTAGATCTTTTCCATCTATGTCTAGCTTTTCCAGTATTTTAAATAGCTCATCATGTCTAACTTTATCAAACGCCTTTGAATAATCTATGAAGCATAAATACAGATCTTTCTGTGCTTAATA